ATTGGCGGTTGTTTGTTGTTTTCTGTGCACTGGAATTTTACGTGACTTTTTCTTGATTGTGCTCTTATCATCTTCAACCTTATTGACTCTATTTGCTGCAGCTGCTTGTACGGTTTTCTCCGTGGAGTTTGGCACACTAGAAATTTTCTTTGTTGACTGTTTAGAGACAGATGAATTTTTTTCCTCTTTTATCTTGCTTTTCTGTTTTTGTTTTTCTTTTGCGTCTTTCATTGTTTGCTTCATTACCTTTTCTCTCCTCTCCTTTAAAGTCTCACCCCCTCTCACTTCCGGTCCACTTTTGATATCGTTGGTGTAGTGGGAATGTTTCTCAGTATTCTTATTCCCAATTTTTTCCTCACCGTCTGTTCTGTCCAGTTTTTCCTTGTTCTTGTCCAAATCATACATACTTTTGTCAAGTAGAGCTAATTCTCCTTTTGTTGGAGAAGAATAAAATGTCCATGCCCCAAGGTGTCGAAGAACTTTACTTGGAAAATTTGCTGCGTATTTCCTTGGAGGTGGATCATCTGAGAACAAACGATCATGCGCGGTAGCTTCCTCTCTGTTCACCACAGTCAGCGGTGGAAGAAGGTTTAACACGTGATCGCGGCGTGAAACTGCACGTGATCGTATCGGGATTGTCGTTGAAAGTGCCATGAGCACATGTGAAAATAACGTTTACCGAGGGTGTATGAAAAAATGTCTGAATAATGAAAAAAAGAAACATTAGAAATATACTTTGCGTAAATAAAAAGGAATTTGATTTCCTAGCTAAATTTTCCTTACTTATGAAAATGATTAGGTCAAAATGTCCTACAAGTCTTTTGAAGCCCTAGCTTAGCTTCGTTAAGAAATTCTATATATAGCGAGCAACAGTCTCTTCACAAGTGCACTTGCCAAAAATACTTGCATCATAATCAAAACTGTGACAAAATTCCTGACTGTGATTGGTTTATCAGCAGCCTGATTTGAGCATTATAATTGATGACTATTTCGTTTTTCAAATCTCTTCATAGTTTTGAATAATTGATAGGATTTTGAGTCTTCCAATTCTGTCTGTAATCATACTAGTGTTTAATCATACTCGTGTAAACATATTCGTCGGGATTTTGTCAAATACTACGTTAAGACCAATTTCAACTCTATGCAAACCCATTTCCACTATTAATTGTATTATCAGCTCTCTTATAACCATACTTTTTCAATTATAACTTATCATGTCGTGAAACACGAGGAATAAACTAGGTCAAATACCGGAGCAAGTTTCCATTCCTAACCGGGAAAGGCCTTCTCTGACTCAAACACGAGCATATATTTTAAAATAGGGTTTTTACTAAAATCGTGATTATGTAATAGTTTAAGAACTTTCGGGTTAGTTATGACGTTTAGAGAGAAATTTCAATATATTCGTTACTTTAAAACTACAATAACAGACTGTACTTCAAGAGGTCAGAATTCCTGTTACATACCGTTTTCAACTTGTGAATAATATCCTTGACAACGGCTTTTTTAATGCGTTGCAGTCGGCAAAAGGTTTTAAGCTACTTTAAAAAGCTAGTGCATTTAGTGGCACCTTGCACAAATTTAGCTGTTCGTGGGGAGCTAAAAATACCTTTGAAGGCTTAAAAACTTTTCCTTTTGGGCATAAAGTCTGTGAGAAAAGTTCAGAGTCCCGAAGGGAAAAATAAACATCTGGGCCCATTTGTCAACAAATAGTGATGCTAGCGACAGGTTTTCCCAAGTGTAAATTTTATTGTGTCAGGTAAAAGTTTATTGCCCTTTGTTAAGCTTAGTTAAATAACACGCCGGTCTGCAGCATTGAATGGTTCCTTTGTGTTTGCTGATGAAGAATTAGTGGTCTTAGTGGCGAGTACTTTGTGATGTGTTAATGATTTACTTAAGAATTGTTTTGTAACAAGCTGAATATGTAATGATGAACATATCTTGTTCTTGTTTGTTTGAGTACTTTTCTTCTGTTCTTATGAGTAAACCCATCAACTAGCGAAAGCTCGGGTAACTTTCCTCAAAACAAATTTCATTAAAATCGCGTGATTATGCGAGAGTTTGGGAAATCATTGCACTAATAGTCAATTTCTGACATGAGTGAGCCTTTCAATGTAAATCTCAGACAATAACGACGTCGTCTATACCTCCATTAGTTCTGTGGCACGACTGTTCTCTCGCCCACGGGTAAAGAAAAGGCATTAACTGTTTAACCCCTAAGAGTGACTAGCATATAATTTCTACTTACAAAATCACCCCCGAATCACACATTAAAGTCACGGGAATAATCTTTAATTACAGAAGCTCTATATCGTTATGCTAATTTTCCTTGCAAGCACCTTAGGAGATGTATAGAGAACAGTATAGAAAATATGCATACTGATGTTCGGTTGTTAAGGCATTAAGCAAACCGAGCCAGAGAGAAATCTACGAGGGAGCTGGCTCATCATCAGCGCACGCCGCTAAGAGACTTTTCACCGCCTCGCGGGCCTTGCTCATGGCCTAAAACGTTTTCTTGAGTGAAGAAACGGTCCTACTGAAGCAACTACTCGTATTAAGATGATGTCTGTCTTGATTAAAAGTTAACGACATTTTACTTAATCCTCAGTACACCACGGTATGGAGCTCTGGACTGGACAACCCGAGTGTCGATTGATTTAATAACAGACTTAATTATGAGGGCTAAATAAGGTTTCGACTCTGTACTTGATAATTAAAGAAAATGAAAATCTATTGTTAAAATTGATAGCCATACAAAATCTAACCAGTTGGTTGGAAAGCGAAACAGATTTACATATTTCGAAGTTGACATAATATCCTGTTCTACCTATTTTTTCCACTATATTTAGAACGATGGTAAGAAATTTGAAGTTGTTGGTAATCAGGTCAAGTGACTTCGCTAGAAGTGTTCAGTCGATTTGCAAGTAGCGTTTGCGTCTGGAGATCCACGTGAACAAACATGTATGAGCCGATCAAGAGTTTTTTTATTGCCATTGTGCGAACTTGGGTTATAATTTACATCGTGTTAGATATTCAATGTCCAAAAGATCTTTCAATAGTTCCAAGGAGCCTACCATTTACACGTTATATCTCATGACCATTAACAACGAAAACCAAAACGCCTCTCGGCGTAAAAAATATCTACTCGTCTGAGCGCACATAAAGAATGGTTTGGTATCAATATGGGGAGGGCTTTTTTTGTAGGGGATGGGGGTATAAAATTAAAACAAAAAATGGAATTGTGGCGAAAAAATCACGATTTAATTAATGCTAATAGGAGTAAGTGAAATCCAATTTGGATTGTAATCAAACGAGTGATAACCAAATCGGACGTTGCGTAGCGGGAGTCCGATTTGTTCATCATGAGTATGATTACAGACTGAATTGGACGACACGAAGTCTCATTACCAATTAATTATAAAAATTGCAATTTCCGAGAGAAGAAGAATGACTAAGTTATGAAAGAAAGGGAAAATTTGCATGTTTGGTTGATTTAAGCTACAACTTTGAATGTGATTGGTTGATCTAAGCTACAACTTTGAATGTGATTGGCTTATTGAACTGTCCGATGTAAACTGTCTGTTAACAACTTGGTAAGCGAATTAGTGAAAAAAAGGAGTTTTTCAAACCAATCACAATCGAGGAAATTGTAATTTTCATAATTAACGATGTAAAGGGTCTTTTAGGAGAGCTCGCGCTGTTTTGTAGTCCGGATTGAATAATCACTGCCAAGGCCACCTTGCCGACCTCATTGATACCCATCAGTGACCCAGCGAAGGATTGTTGAGAATTGTTATTGGAAACTATATACGTCCGATGATTAGTCTAAAATGCAGATTTAATTTGATTGCTTTTCGCTTTCAGACCATCTTTCAGTTTTTTGCTAACCATTTGATCGATCCACTTTAAATTACAAAACGCTGAGGGAAGGAGGAGGGATGCATGCTTGAGTCTTTTGCCTTCGCAGAGATTTGTTATGGCCTTCCAAGAAACTGTCATAACGGCTCTAATAATTTTGGCTTTCTCAAGCACAAGTTCAGGTAACATAAAACTCTCTAGAATCTATTTTACGCTGTCGTTTTTTTAGACAGCAGGTTCACTTCCGAAATCAATGACGTGAAATGAAGAAAAATAACGTGATAAGGTATCATGCACATCGATTCTTATGCAAAGATGGGTGCCTCTGTTATTCTGTGTCGAGTTGCTCTAAGGGCGCATAACGATATCCAACGGATAAATCGCTATCCCGTCAGCGGATAAGTGTTAACAAAAACGTAGTGCACGGTCCACCGGACAGATAGTTATCCAGAAGATGGCGTTATTTACCCTTCGAACTACCGGGGCCTAATATCATATACTGTTTGCAGGTTAATTACCTTCAACAGCTGAAATATCGTCTACATAGTTATTTAAATTTTTCAGTCTTTCGATTGTATCAAACGGCCATAGAAAACGAAATTCATCTTGGTGCTAAGTTGAATTTTAATGTTCTAAGATATCTATTGCTTTATTGGTTGTTCATTATCCTATTCCTATTTATAACTCCGGCACTTACCGAAAATCCAAAGTGAATTTTCAAACTCCAAAATTTAGCCTGAATTAACATAAAAAACACGAATATATCATTGAAATAACCTGAAAATAGTCTTTAGATAAATTAATCTCCTAATGCGACTCAGAATTTGCAATATTGGTTTTTTTGAGGGGGTAGGAGGGGATAAATAGAGATCTAGGAGCAAATATTTCAAAGAAAAATCGATAACGAACGAGAAATTCAAGTTGGAATAATTCCACGCTCAGGAATCAAAACTTAACTAAAGCCATAGGAGACGGGTGCTGGCTGTGCTCCAAAAGAGAGTTTATGCGGAAGGGAATTGGAAAAAGAGACAAAGCAAAGACATCTATTGAAGGAACCAGTTTGTCCGTGGGTAAAGCGACCTAATTTAATAAGTAGTTAACATAATTATGTGATCCCTGGAGATTATTCAATTAATATTGTTATTGTTCTAAGAAAATGAAAACCCTTAAGGAGCAAATCCTGTATAGCGTGTTTGGTACAAGAAGAAAAGGGTAACTGCCTCATGTCTTCCTAGATTGGTTCTGATTTATAACAAAAAGCAACTGAAAATAAAAATGGCTGTGGGAAAAAGCTTTAACTTGCTTACAACGTAAGCAAAACGGTAAAACCCCTCTCTCTGGGAAAAGTAATCAGTTTTCTGCTACAGGAATATCTCGCTTTAGGAGGCTCCATGGGGTTTTTGCTCGATTTTAGCGCGCGCGCTAGTGTCATGTTTTTCTAGAAAATTTTGATCTTTTGGTTTTTCAAGGTCACTAAAGGTCATCAAAAGGTGACTAGCAAGGTGCGGAGTATTATTTGCCGTAGTGAATATTAACAAAATGATATTCGTTATTAAGTTAAGGCTCCAGGAAGGGAGGCGCTCGCCAGTGACAATATGGCTTTCCCTATGATTTTCTTCAATTTGCTTCAGTGAAATCTCGCAAAAGTTTCACAATTTGTGAAATGTTTCCTGCCAGTCATTTAAAAGCCGAAAAAAATAGCGGTTTCCAAGGTTGTTTTCCCTCTATTTGCGACTTCGTGTTTTCTTCCTCTATCAAATTCGGTCTTATTAAATTTTTTAATCAACAGGCACTAGGAAGGGCACAAATATGTTTAACGGTTCAGCAAATCTTAGGAAATTCATC